ATTGTACGTTTATATGAGGTCCAGGCAACTAAGTATAACCATATGTTGAGGATTGTAGTTTGGCTATTGTTAGTAGGAACGCAATTTACAATGTTTTACAGATTTATCACTGCTGAAGATGGAGCAAGCTGCGACCAGCCAGAAAATGGTCTACGTACAATCATAGACACACATCTGATATACGTATTTATTATGCTACCTCAGTTTACTATGGTGGCATCCATAATATTTATATTCCCAGATACTGGTAAGTAAACAGGCCCGGATCATTTCCAAATGAAATGAAATGAATAGTTTTATGTCCCACTATTCTGCCCCGGATGGTTGCGGCCAACGGGCAACATACACATGTTGCCAGGATAGTGGCATTAGCATTCTCTTTTTCGATTTCCAACTATCTAGAGATTTAGCGGGCAGTTGTTTGGATCAAGCATATATATCTAGCCTAATTGGACACAATATAGCCCTTAATCTGAATATAATTAGATTACAATGCGATTGTGATTATTGCCTAATTAATATCTTATTATAATTAGTTTGTATAACCCCATACTTGTCATAGATACTAAGCAAGAAAGTCTTGATACTAAATACAAAATTTGTCCGTCGCTCGAGGTTATACTACGTCTCCTCTCATATTTGAGGAAGTGTTTTAGCTCAGTCTACTTTGGAGAAATTGTTTGGTAACAATTGGATAGACTGTCTTCCTGGTTCGATTCTTAATTGACGTGTAAATGCATATTACATAATTCCTCACTCTATATATAATTGAACAGGGTATTTTGTCGGTTGAAAATACTACTTAAGTGATTCTGGTGTTAGATAACAATCATCCCAGGTTAAAGCTGACAAGTCAAATGACTGAAAGGGGTTGAAAAGGTTTTTTTTATATTTTTATGTGTATCGAGGACACTGATAGCATCACTTTAAAGTAAAGTCTACTTAATTCAAATTTTAAGCCAGATGTCTGTTATGTAAGCAGATTTTATTTTAGAGACGTCATCAAATACTTAAAGATGGGTTTCCTTATTTTTTTTAGTGTTAAATTAAGCAAACTATTTAATTAATTGGTGTTTCTAATAAATTATCATGTATTATTATCATATCATTATATTCTTGTTGCATATAATTAAGAGTTTTAACCGATCATAAATGTACAAGTATGTACAGTCTGGATAAACAAAAAAAGGCATTTAAACCTTACTTGATCGGTCACTCATTGGATTTCTGTTGATAATTCTCTTCTAATTTAGCTAATTATGAATTATTTATGGACATATGAGACAAACTGGTATTTTTCCAAAACATTAGAACACATCTACTTTTTATTGATATAAGTATTAGAATTTTCAATTTCTTAAATGAAAATAAAGGAACCCATCTTTACTGGAATTGTAGGAACTACAGACGTCTTTCTAAAAATTGGAAAGGTGCAACTTAATGCTATATGTGTGTCTGATACACACAAAAAACTTCTTTTAGATATTTTAATCAACAACATATGATTCAGTGAACAAATACCCCTAAATTATTATCATACCACTTGTGTTATACATTTCTATATCCTTCTACAATTGATTTATTGAGCTCTATTTTAACAGTGGTATTTCAATATGCTCTACAATTGATGTATTGAGTACTATTTTAACAGTGGTATTTCTATATCCTTCTACAATTGATGTATTGTGCATAATTTTAACAGTGGTATTTCTATATATCTCTACAATTGATGTATTGAGCTCTATTTTAACAGTGGTATTTCTATATTGCTCTACGATTGATGTATTGAGCACAATTTTAACAGTGGTATTTCTATATTGCTCTACAATTGATGTATTAAGCACAATTTTGACAGTGGTATTTCTATATCCTTGTACAATTGGTGTATTGAGCACAATTTTAACAGTGGTATTTCTATATATCTCTACAATTGATGTATTGAGCACTATTTTAACAGTGGTATGTCTATATTGCTCTACGATTGTTGTATTGAGCACAATTTTAACAGTGGTATTTCTATATCCTTTTACAATTGGTGTATTGAGCACAAATTTAACAGTGGTATTTCTATATCGCTCTACAATTGATGTCTTGAGCACAATTTTAACAGTGGCATTTCTATATCGCTCTACAATTGATGTATTGAGAACAATTTTAACAGTGGTATTTCTATATCACTCTACAATGGAGGTATTGAGCACTTTTTTAACAGTGGTATTTCTATATCGCTCTACAATTGATGTATTGAGCACTTTTTAAACAGTGGTATTTCTATATCGCTCTACAATTGATGTATTGAGCACTTTTTGAACATTGGTATTTCTATATCTCTCTACAATTGATGTATTAAGCACAATTTTAACAGTGGTATTTCTATATCGCTCTACAACTGATGTATTGAGCACTTTTTTAACAGTGGTATTTCTATATCGCTCTACAACTGATGTATTGAGCACTTTTTTAACAGTGGTATTTCTATATCGCTCTACAATTGATGTATTGAGCACTTTTTGAACATTGGTATTTCTATATCTCTCTACAATTGATGTATTAAGCACAATTTTAACAGTGGTATTTCTATATCGCTCTAAAATTGATGTATTGAGTACTTTTTTAACAATGATATTTCTATATCTTTTAGATGAAGAAGAAAATATAATCAGTGAAGGAAACAAATCGAGCCCGGAAATACAACCAATGTGTACAGAGATCAAAGTGCATTCTCCACCCGAGGTTGCAACGATACGTGACTGTCCGCCCTGTACTTATGCAACCGCGCTTAACAATGCCGACGAAAACTTGACAAGGTCTAGCAAACATCCACCATATGAAGATGTGACAGCGTCACATTTATGCTCATCGTATGACAGCGTGACAGCTTCATGTCACTGCCTATCGTGTGACGGTGTGGCGGCTTCGCGTTACTGCTTATCGTGTGACGATGTGACAGTGTCACGTCACTCTTCGTCGTTTAACGGAGTAACAGCGTCACCTTACTGTCAAGCATCACTTAACTATCTCACATGTAATACGTCACGTTTATGTGTATCGTGTGCTTACTTGAAATTGTCACAGTTTATAATATTTGTGTATTTAAGTTTTGTGATTTGGGGAATGAAGCCTGTGAGTATATTATTACAGGAATTTCGATGTATTGACAGACAAAACATTGTTAATGGATTCATTCTACTGCCACCTTTTGTGTTTTCCAGTGGAATTTATCTTTTAACTATCTTTAGTCCTTTAGTACTTTCACTCAGTCACAAATAAAAGAATAACTGTCCTTGTGAAGAGACTTTTAGAAGTAGAGAATATGATGCTGGATATATCTGAAACAGTGGCGAAGTAAAGTCTGAGAGAGATACAGGTCATTTCCAAAAGGGCGTGACGCCAAGAAATTCCGAAAGTCGAGGAAATAAGAAGAAAAAGCGTGGCCTTTGTTCAAGAGACACACACCCTTTCAGCGTGTACATGGGATGAATCGAGGTCTTTAAGATTTTGTTAATTTTTGTCAGACAATATATGTGTTGATAGTTTTCAATTCAAAATGAAAAGCATCCATGTGCTTCGTTAGTTTCCAATCTGGATAGCCCACACGTGTAATTGACCTGTAATGCATGTTAAAGAGGTTATTCGAGAATGCGTCCTCGTATTAACCATAATATATGATATTATATTAAGTGATTATTGTATATGTGGTACATTTATCAGGGTAGTGAGTGAAATTTAAAGGTACAAATCAGATTCGTCTGATCAAATGGCCTCATCTGTTTAGTAGCGGACTGTAACTCGAATATTGATCTCTTCCCTACACAAAGTCAATTTTATTTTGAACAACCACTTTGATATATTGGCATACGTAACTGCTGTCAAACAGCCAGTTATGTCCCTTCGTTTCATAAGCTTGAGGCCAGTTAAGAGGCACTGATTTTGGTAATAAAATAAGACTTAATTTGGCGCAAGAAAAGAAGTACGAATGAACATGATCTAAATTTCAAAGAGAGAATTGTTTTTTGTCATAAACCTTCATTAATAGGGGAAAAAGTAATTTATTTGGTCCTTATTTGTGTATAATATGTTATGTTCGCATCTTTCTCCTGTTAGTCTGTATTGTATATTTTGAACATATATTTGTTATATTATCAATTAATAACGCTTTGCAAGAAATTTGGAGTTACCCGAACCTGTCAAACTCTATAATAGTATTCATGTGAATGTACCTGTCCTCGCCAATTTTCCACATTTGTAGAATTTAGAGTTAATGCATTGTCTTAAGCTAAAGCACTTTTTTAAAAAAATTTTACGAGTTAGAGTATTATGTAAATATTGCAACCTGCTAATAAATTCAATAATCAATGATCAATGAAGAGACTCCGTCACCTCCATCAATTACGAACCCCGAACAGGCCAGCTGTTACACTTAGGCCACTGATAAACTGAATCTATACAGATCTACTAATGAAAGAAAAGCACATTCACATTTTACAAAGATAACTACTTCTCGCGGACCTTTCTGTCAAAGAAAATAATGAATTTATTATGTATCTAAGCAAAAGTTATCTAAAGCTTCATGAGAATCTTTATTTAGAGTAATAAAAACTTACTTAAAGTAATAAGTACTTACCTATAAAACCTGGCGACGTCAGTTATCTTAGTAAGACCATCTAATTCGCCAGTTATAGTCAATAGTGGCAGAGGAAAAGCGGAACTCTTCACCGCTGAAGGTAATAATGACCCAAACAATATTATTCCGCCTAACATTTCTGACTCTTGAAGACCAAATTCTACTGCAAACGAACCTGAAAATATTAATTGAAGTAACATTATAGGTTAATCAAGAAGATGATCAACTGTAGTCTGACTTAAATGTAGATCTAAAGAGATTTTTCTTTTATGATTTTTCTGATCCATGATTCCACGTGGAGATGAACTGTAGAGCCCACTTCAATCAGGTTGGATCAGAAGCCATTTGAACAGTGCCCGAAGGGACGGAAATGAAATGAAATGAATGGAGTTTTACGTCCTACTTTTCTGCACCACGTGGGCTAATGAAGACGGCCGAAGGGACGGAAGACGAACCATTTGTTTTACCAGTTGATAGAACCTATATTCAGTTACGCAGCTCAAAATTCAACATTCGTTAGTGTACGTCAGAATGACCAAGTTCCCACTAAATCGCACGATAAGTTTTAACATAAAAATAAACTTACCCCTGCTTCCATGTCCCGCTAGAAAGATGTCAGCCTCGTCCACGTTTAATCCCTGAATTGATAATTCTTCCAGAAGCTCTGCCCAGAGAATGGGAAATGTCTCTGAGGTCAGAGTAATACTCTTGGTGTCCATTATACCGACCCATATTGGCAAATTACTGGATATCTGGATCTCTTCAGCTGGAATATATATATTAAAGTATATGTGATTATCCGTTATTACTCAAAGGGTTTTTAGAGGTTTTCTATAGTTTTCATGATTATCGGTGGCCAATTTTCCGTCTGCCCAAAGACCGACTGATTGAAAGGATAGACTGTCATCCTTGTAAAAATGGTTCTTTTTCTTTCTTATGGTCTCCACATTCTATCTGGATAAAATTCTTAATAAATATGGAATAATTGTATATCAGAACCGAGAGTAGAGAACTCTGATAGCCTCTTCGGGTTTCTTTATTTTATCAAAAAATGGGTTTTGCATGGCACACGTTGATTTGTTGAACATTAGTGGGACATTCGAAAATATTTCGAAAATATCAGAAAACAAAAAAAATACCGAATTGAATTTTTGTGATTTTAATTAGATTGTAGTGTAATATACAAGGACAATATGATTGTAGATTTTCTGTGTAAATCAATCATTCCTTGTAAGTAACTTTAATAACTGGTGTCCTTTTATTAACTTTCGCTGTGCTAGTCAAAATTAGTTTCGGTCTCAATTGAATTTTACTGAAACCAGTTGTCTCCCTTCATTCAAACTCTTTATCGGCCGTCTGTGTTTACTCATTACTGTCGATGGATTGGGCTATATTTTCCAGCATCTGCTCATCTGATCCGTTGCAGTCAACAAAGGAGGATACTGCAGATAACTGCGATCAATTGAAGGTTCGTAGATTTCGACCACTCATGTGTAAGCCTATACTTTCATATGCAATCAAACACTAATATCTGGTAGGCTACCCTTGCCGACAGGCGTTAAAATTCCAGAAGCTGTCAAATTTTACTTAATACTGAACATCTCTACAGATCACTATAATGCTATAGAAGGATTCTCATTGTTATTTGTAACGCACCTTGTGAATATGTAGATAAAAGTCGATCTATCATTGTCTTGAATGAATCTAGCATGTTTGATAAAAGAACACATGTTATCTGGTTCAAGATTGTCCCCGTGGGCGTATTACAGGTCAAGTTTAATGATATGTGCCTGACCAACTGATATGATATGTTATCTTTATACTGACTGGTATGTTCTAGTGTTGGTCAGTCTCTGATAAGACAAGGTCTAGGGTCCCGTTGGTCGTAAGTTAGTGTAGATTTAAGGTGAGTTTACCGAACACGCGGTATGCGTATCGCGGGACGCGGCAACGGAATGCGGTATAGAGATTTTTTCGCTCCAAGCCATTTTCCTTAATCCGTTAACTGGACCGCGTTACGCGGTATGCGTTATGCGAGTCGGTCGTGGCACGCGGTACGCGGTAAAACCGATCGGTCGGAGTAGCGATCTTTCCGCGCGGTATAATATACCGTGGCGGTTTAAGTCCACGTGTAGCAATTATCTGAGCTTTGTTTTATAGTTTCCATGCATTCCTGCGTGTGAAGTTGCGCCCATAAGTCAAAATGCCTAGAGGAAAACAACTTCCGGACGATGTAATCGAACGTTTGGTCGGACTCATCAGGGAAGGTCCTTTCATCTTCGATACCAAGGACGACAGTCATATGGATGCACAGAAGATGAGTAATGCCTGGGAGAGCATAGCAAAAACGTTGAAAGTGGAAGGACTAGATGGTGAGCTTCATTTTTAAGTTTGGAGCCGGTCGTGGCCGCGTAGCGCACTTTTCAGCTGTTCCGACTAGGCTCGGGCTCAAATCAAGCCTCAGTCAGAATTGTAATGATTCTATCGCTCACACTGTTAATGGGCCTCGGTGGCTCAGTGATTGTAGGCCTACATCTGCAACAAAGCAGTGATACATTCGCTGGAAATCTCTTGCCTTTCACCATTGTGATGTACTGTTTATAAACACCAATCAAACTAATTGCTATCACATAGGCCCCAACGGCGATGATTACATCCCGCTGGATTCGGTTGCATCGTGTTTGAGAAGGAATGGACCAGATGGGCGCCATGCTTATGAAACTTGAAGTGATACCGCCACGTTAACGCCTTCCGATAAATAGAAGTGCGGTATATTTACCGCATTTCGCATACCGCATTCCGTTACCGCGTCCCGCGATACGCATACCGCGTGTTTGGTAAACGCAGCTTTAGAGTAAATGGCGTTAATAAAAAAAAAAGAGTTAATATTGACGTAGATTTAGTCTGAAGATGTACATCATAGGTTCTTTTTGAAAAACGGGGCTCAGAATAGCCGAATCAAGGTTACTCTTACTTAGTCTCTGATCGAGATATTGGTCATTGTAAGCAATATGCTTATCTAGTTTCTAATAGCTCAATTGGACATGTTGTCGACTAGCGTGGAACTAGTTCACTCTCGCTTAGACTATTATAGCTATAGGACTATTTGACATTCTAACTGGACATTTGTCTAGCTTCTTAGAGCTAAATTTTACATTTGTCGGGTAGCTGGAAAGTTTCTGAAATATTATATAATTGTCTATCTTCATAGAGCTATATTGGATATTTGCAGAATGCCCGACTGTGGCTTTATTCGACCGAACCGAGAAGATCTCTCTGATTTCTCTTGAAATTGGCAAACAGGATTTAAAAGCATGGACGATATTCGAACCCTCAAAGATTTTGCTTTATACTGAAATCCATAGACCTATACATGTAAATTTATATCGTTAAAAAAGAAAAATGCATAATGTTCATTTTATTGAAGTTTATCTCGAAGATGCTATTAAAGTCTTCTACAACTGTGTACATTAACCCATGAATATTTTCACATATTCTAGTCGCCACAAGAGGTTAGTATGTTTATTCTAATAATAAAACAAGGGTTAACTTAAAGACAACGGTAGACTTTATTTATTTATGTAGAACAGCTTGACCATACATTAACCCCAACTACGCCAACCATCCACAAACCTGTCAACATTGTTAGTAGGTATTTAACTCGACTGACATTCGTAAATAGACGGAACTAACCAGCCGATAATAAGGAAAAATAAAGAATATCAACTGTAATGACTGCCGAGATCCTGTCTTCTAGCTGGTCCTTGAAGAAATCTGTCATTCATTTAGCGAACAACTGGATTGACTGGAATAAATGGTACATACTGGTTTTTCGCAGTCAGCATAATTAATTAATTCATTAAGCGAACCACTGGATTGATTAGAACAAATTAGGAATGTTAGCTTTCCGTAGTCAGCATAAATCTTTAAATTTATTTATTGCTGGTCTTGTCAGCTACTAACTACACTATTATAAAATGTAAAGAATATCTGCTATAATGACTGCAGTCAGATTGGACAAACCTCTCGCTTATTAATAAAACGAGATTGTCTGGGATAAATGGTATTGGTTTTTCGCAGTCAGCATAATTCTTTAATTATTTATTCCATGTCTTTGTCGATTTATACGAACAATTCCACGATAGTAAGGAAATATAAAGAATATCGACTTATATGACTGCAAAGATCCTGTCAGCAAGCTTGGACATCATGTCATTCATAAATAAAACTAGATTGAACCGACTAAATAGTATGTATCGGCTTTCTGCAGTCATCAGAATCCCATTTCTACTACAATGTACATATTCGCGAAGAATAGCACCTCAATTGCCACTCCAGATTTTTCAACGTAAGGATACCACCCCTCTTAAATTTGTTATATTTGGTTTATTTTTGGGAATTGTAAATATAAGACAGTACACCTGTTATTTGGGGTGTTTATTCCGATTGTTTACACAATAAACTTATAGTTGTTTATTATATATAACAGCTTCAAAACTGCTAGAGATTGTAAATGAAAGAACACACATTCACCTGTTTGCAAAATAACTGTACAAGCTAACACCAGTGGCTTCAATGGAGCCAATAATTGAGATGTTTTTAATTTACAATTTTTCCCGATGCAGACTGATAACGGCGCTGGAAGTCTTACTGTAGACATTGCTACTTATTCAACCACAATTTTCAAAATCAATCTAATTACAGTACAGTTAAAAACGTTCAGTTGTGTTTTCCTGTGAACAGCTGCATAGTTTAATAATAGTTACACTGAACATCTTCTTGAAGTCTTTCTTCGGTTATTACTCATTCAAGAAAATAAAATATTTTCTATCAGGCCTGATGGTGTTTTTATATCCGGAAATTGTAAACATCAGAATAAACACCTGTTGTATAATCTGTTTACAAAATAAATATATCATATTTATCATAAATACCAACTGAATCATTTATTGTTATATACAGCAGGTTTATTCAAATATCTAATTTCTTCCATTTAGAATCTATAGTTATTATTTTAGAAATACCATGCTCTACTAAACGTAATATGTTCTATGAGACTTGATAATATTTCAATATCTATGAAATTGTAAACATCAGAAAAAACTGGACATGTTGTATAAATTATTTACAAAATAAACATTTCATAGTGTAGAATAGTAGAATAAATACCGCCTTGCAAAATGTCCCAACAGCTAAACCATCGGAATCCTATGTGTATCTTACAAAACAGTTAAACCAATCCATAAGTCCATAAGGGGCGGGGGCTGCTTGTTAGCGCCACTTGTCTTGCGTAACGGAAAGGTTGTCCCGGTATACATCTGGAATTTCAATTACCATGCACGACAAAAATTCAACTTTTTTTTATATCTACCAACATCTTCCTGGAGATGTCCATGGACTGTAAAAATGATTATTTGCCTCGTGTACCACTATTGCAGTTCAACAACTGCTTAACTATACACATAAAATTCGTCGTAAAAAATTCATGGTCGTCAAGAGCAAATTGAAGAGTTTAATGTATACTGCATGTTTGTCGCATAAATTATAACACTTGAAACACAAAACTACTTGTAAATTTGATAGCTGTGGAGACTGTCATTCTGGGGTAACAAGGCATATTTACACGGTGCAATTTTTGCTATCGTAGACACTGGTTCAAAATGGAGAATTACGCAAACAAGGAATAAGTCTCGTTTAGAATTAAAATAAAATCGTAAAATAAAGTTCAAAGAGTCATTTTGGGACTCAAACCGGAAGAGAACTATCGTGTAGACTAGGCTTGAGTTTTGACATGTTGAATAAATATATTATCTATAAAAATGTTTCCAATTACATTCTGAATAAACTTAAAAATATTGAAAATGACAACAAAAACAGCTGTAATAACTGTCTCGGGATCTCGTACTCAGAAACTGGTACATGTTCATCACGGACATATAATACAGTACAGTACAGGTTTATAGGTACAGTTGAACATTTTAATATGCTGCAGTGAGGAGTCTTATATATGGAATAAAAGCCGATATATTATTTTGGACCCGCAAAACGTTAGTGTTTTGCTCGAATATTTCGGAGCATGGCCCGAAAACAAATATGTATTGGTTTGAGGTAGGTAAAGAAAGGGGGGGGGGGGGGTACCATAAATTACCATAAAGGTCTGTGCGTGCAGGTTAAGATGCTGCATTGAATCTTGTACGAGATTAACACATAAATATCAGTCCGAAATAAACCCCTATATTTTATTTCATGTACTTGAAAATCGCTAGTGCTTTGCTCGATATGATATACATGTACCCAGCGAAATGACATAAAGGGATTGTAAAGAGGATTTTTAAATTTGTTATGCTTATCGGGGGCACTGATAGCATCAATTTGCACCATTTCAATTTTCAATTAGACGTCTGTGATTCCTGTAATTCCACTAAAACTAAGTGTTTTATGACGTCACCCCAACAAAATGTGCTTGTATCACATAAGAGCTTTGCGGGGGTGACTTCATAAAACATTTAGTTTTAGTAGAATTGCTAGAACCACAGACACACATACAAAATTTAGAAAACCTCTTTTCAATCCCTTTAATAAACGTATCTGTAACTTAAGTCCGATGTCGATCACATAAAATCACATAAGGCTTAAAATACACAGTTTGCTTAAATGATCTTCAAAGTATCATTGATTCTAACTTTTTTATCAGTTGTTCCTCACCATGAA